GGGGGGGTATCTTTCACCATTTTCCATCATATTTCCTCTACCCACTGTGCTCATCCCCAGCTTCTAGCTCTGGCAACATTTGAAAATGTTTTAAACCCTCCTTTGGAATAATTATGGGTATGGACAAAAAGAGAATCTCTAGTATTTGTATAAAAATGCTGATTTTCAAACAAAAGAAATGTAATAAAATCCATTAAAAATTGTATCATTTTTTAGAAAAAGGAAAAAGAAACAGACATGGAGTCACAGATTCTCTAGTAATAAAATTTCTGAATAATGCAATATAACACTATTTCAATTCAATTCAACAGGTTTAAAAGGTAACAACACAATCTTAAATTAGATTTAACGACCATTCTCTTGGTAACATGAGCATGGAACAATAATGATATTTAAAGTTAAATTGTTACTTTGAAAACTTCTTTCTGTTGAAATTTACAAACTGTCCACAGAAAAAAGCAGACGGATTATTATAAATCGAATTTTTCTCTAAACGCATATCTGTTAAAGATCATGAATGCATTTATTATTGAACATATGTCACATTTCAATGTAAACGCATGGCAATATCAATTAACAGCAAATTTAGCTATCAAACCTGTCTTTCTAAGAATGTTTCTTCTTCATTTTTCAATCCTAGTTCAATTCCCTAATATAAATATGAAAAAGAATGTTCAATGTTTTCTTTGTAAAGAAACAAACAAAAAAACACTGTATTTCCTATTTCAGATAGATCACAACACAACACTATATCCTTAATATAGTTATAAAAACATGAGCACCTAGGCAAACACTACATATTATAAATTCTAAAAAGGATTGTCAAATGAAATTAGAGATCTCTTCCACATTTTCCATTTTATAGTAATCTTATCTTTATTTCTTTAAATTAAATGGAATAATTCCTTCACGCCACAACAAATGCAAGAATTTACTTTTTAAGGTTGCAATTCTTATGCTTCACATGGAACAATTGCTTGTGTTAAAAAAAATTTTCATGAAAGGAATGAACATTGTAAAAGTTATTGTGAATAGTACATTAACAACAATTTCTTATTAAAATAATACAAAATTTTGAAACTGCACAAATTATTTTTCTGATCATAACATTGAACAAATTGATAAAAACATACAAATTTCAGTTCATCCCCACCTGAACAACTACTCCTAAACAAAACAAACAAGAAAACTTTGTATTTAACTTATGAACAGAGAAAGAATAGATTTTTATTAGCAGGCACACAATTTTATTCTGATATAATTCACATGATAAATTTTTACAAATCCATGTATTTTTTTCCCACTTGTCAAAGAAAAATATTACAAAACAAATTGTCTTTTTTTCCTGCTCGTACATGTACTGCAAATATCTTCAACAATCTGCTAAATGCTATTTCAAAGACAATTAAAAAAATTGTCTCCTAATTAATAGCAAACAATCCACTACAGCCTATCTAGACTCACAATTGTCAAACTCTACCTCAATGTAAGTTGCACAGAGCACAGAAGGTGATACTACACACAAAAATGCCACATCTACCATATAATAACACACAAAAAGTTATTACACATATGAGAGAGAGAGAAAGGTGGACTTTGTGCGTGCTTACAGGAAGACCATGAGGTGCCCAACTTAGCCAATATCTCTACGTGACCTACAGCTTCCAAATACCCAATCTAATTTAATGAAATCTTATTTCCACTGGCAAAATATTGCAACTGGTTTAGTATTTTAGTTTCATTGCAAAGTCCACCTGTCAGTGTGGTTAGAACAAACCATGCCATTAGCACAACAGCCTGGATATGAGCATTCTCGAGTTAAAATTAGAACAGAGTTAGCATTTGTGCATTCTCTAATTACATGACTTTTTATATTATTACGTTCTTTATTATGACTTGCGACACATACTGTAGGAATAGTCCTATTTCTTATTTAATCTGATAATGATTATTTGGATAAAGAGAATATTGCAAAATAAACTAATCGTATCATTCGCAACACAAATCAGGAACTAATTATGCTTTTTTGTTAAAAATGTATAACGAATTATTTAGAAAAGTTCAATTAAAATTTGCATTAAATATTAATTAATTTATTTTATAAATGCTCCTCCTCTCACTGTTATAAATGATAAATATTTCGTGAAAATTACTACAAAACTTTACTATTCAGACTTTGTAGCAAGCTAACAGAAATGCATAAGAAAAAAATTAACTAATTTAGTGTAATAGAGGAAAAACAAAAGTCAGCAGAAACAAGAGGAATTTTTAAAATATTATAGTTAATATTGGTTTACTTGGCAAGAAAGAAAAAAAGGGGATGCGGAGAGAGAGAGAGAGAGAAGTTGAGAATAAAACAACAGAAAACTCTTCCTGTGAAGTCCACAAACCGTGAAAACCAGGGGTGCCCAATCAATATAAGAAGTCATTTTGTAATACTTTGGAATTCCAAATAAAACATAATACGCATATAATAAATATTTTGCTCTAAAATGAGCAGAGTGTCCATTGCCAATTCATGTAATGTGTTCATCATTGTTTTATATTTGTTTCTCTCAGGCAGCAGCTAATGAAAATACTGGCAATAATTTCTGCTCTTGCGATAGCTTGCAGAACTGGTTGGGCTGCTTCTTTACATGTGCAGGGAATGATAATTTGAAAGCATTCCTTACGAAAAGTATTTTATTCAGAAATAGAGGCATAAATCACAAATATTTGTAGATTCATTAGTAACTGTTTAACTTAACTTCTGAAAAATCATTTAGGTGCACACACAGTTGGCGTTTGTCATTCTAACAAGAAATGGATTTTTCCTAAGAATGTACATTTTAAAGCTACTTGCCTTACCAGTTGCTTTGGAAAAGGAATGCTCGTGAAACATTAATTCCCTGAGTTTTTAAGCATCAACCAACGTCACGTGTAGTAATCATGGCAGGTATGTGAGGTGAGGAGGGGACAGACCACTACTGTGATTGCATTTTAGAAGCATGAAAGTGATGTTCATTTTCTACACAGAGTTTTCAAGCCAAAAAGAATATTAGCTCATAAGGACAACATATCCCTGATTTGACACATATGCAGATCCAAACAAATAGGTGTGTATGGCATTTTAACACGGAACAGTATAAAGCAGTGGACTCTTTATGTGGTTATAAAAAGTTTTGAAAATTATATTGTTGTGTATTATTTCTTCAAACGAAAAAAGTATTTGGATCAGTTTTGGATTTAACGATATGAATAATTTATTGACACCCATGGAACGACATCAACCAGCACAAAATCATATCAGATCTGAAAATTGTCGGCCAACATTTAGTACCGTCTGAATAGATTTCTGCTGGACCAACAACTTAAACAAGAAACTCTTAAATTCAGCAAGTCAAAAATTATAGAACAGTTCTGCATTCCTCATTGATGTGGTAATTTTATGGTTTTGTCAGGAACATTCTTATTAAATTAATTATATAATATATAATTATTAGGAATAAAAGTCTTAACAGAAAGAATTACATCAAAATCCTATCATCATTAAAGTACGATAAAACCCTTCAAGTTCATTTGCAGAGGGCCATCGTTTTTACACTTACCAAAATGTATTTAGAATGAATTGATAGAAAGCATAGCCATTACTCTGTTAAATGAAATAAAAAAGGAAATGACTTTCCCTATTTAGTGCTGTAATTCGACACTAGTCTAGTGATAAAGCCACCCATTCTCAATTACTGACAGTTGTATGATATTTACTTCCAAATGGGGAAATGGTTGAATGATTCTTAAAGTTTTCTGTCATCAGCTCAAATCCCACAGCCAGTGCTTCAGCAGAACATGTTTTGCACACTCAATAAATACACGGTAGTTCCTAACTCCAGTGTTACGATGGTGCTGTAGAAATGTCTGGTGAAATAATTAGGCTTCAAAAATTATTTAAGAGACAGATACCCTGATGCAGTATTTGAGCATTGTCTTGCACATAGACTCAAGGCATTAATAAGACTTCATTTAGTGATCTCCCAGTTAGTGTCAAGTATCAAAGAGTAATATTTTCTCATGACTCTTTGAAGCATTCCCTCATAATTTTCTAATTCCAAAGAACTCATAGAAGCACTCAATCCAGAAGAGAAGAGAAGATTTTCCTACAACATGTGCCCTACAAGATGAAATTATAATTTATGACTTGTTGAGAATACAGGAGCACGGAGATGATTTAACAAATTTATTTTTTACTATTCTTGACAACTCAGGACTTGTGATGAAACCAAGTTTCATGAGACTGGTTTTTTGAATCTAGGCTTTCCAATTTTGATGTAAAGTATTGCAGTGGAAAGGAAAAGAAAAAAAAAAAAAAAAAAAAAAAAAAAAAAAAAAAAAAAAAAGAAAAAAAAGAAAAAAAAAACAGAAGAACTTCTCAAAAACAAAGGAAATGAATTTGAGGTAGTGTGGTGTAAATGTTTAGGGGATATTGAACAAGACACAAAGAAGAGCTGAGTAGATATCACTGATATACATTATTGTTGTTAACATTGCAAAATACTTAACAATGCATTAAATAGATTCAACTGTTTGGATTCTTTGAAATTCCTATAACTAGTAGATGATAAAAATATTTTTAAAAATCTGTTTCTAGAAGAAATGTTTTACTCTCAGGCATAAAATTTTGGCCGTATTTTTGTTTTGCTAGTCTCAGAAGTTAACTTTGTGCAGCATTTGAAACAAATGAATATTTATGAATAGGCATTTAATTGGCTGTCCGGATGACACCCCGTCCATGGCACGTTTTGGTCACCATTCTGCGATAATGCCTATTGTAGTGAATGAAATACAACCTGAAAATAATTTAAAATTGCTGTATATATTTTGCTACATGATTTGCTGCTTGACGAGGCACAAATTCTTAGTTCAATGCTTGGC